GAATGTCCCCCCAGGCATGTCACAGTAGGGGACTTGAGTGATGTGAGTGCTCTGGGCCTGGAGTTAGGATAGTTTTAGTTGGTAGTAAGGTTAGCCATAGGATATTCCCGACAATTCCATTTGCAGCTTAAGGCTGGGTTGACAGTCAAAGTTGGAGGGAACTCTGCTGTTTTTAAGACTAATAATAATTCAAGCCATGAGGATCTTGCCATAGCTTGTGCTGTTATATCCTCACGGTAACCCAGTGGGGTAGGTACCAGTTTTATAGATGGGAAAACTAAAGGAAAGAGAGGTTGAATAACTTGCCCACAGCCATTTATCTGGTTAGCAGCTGTGTGGAAATTCAAGCCAGCGCTGTCTGATGCTGAAAGCTGCATTGCTGCTCTGGGTGTTTCTGGAATGTTGACTCTGGTTACGCTGCTGGTAAGGGACAGAACCAGGATTCAGGGAATGCTGCTCTTAGCCATTCTCCTTTGTCACAAGCAAAGTGGGGGAGGGTAGTGCTGAACTGTGAGGCAGCTGGTGCTGGAGCCCCGATGCATGGAGAGGAAATGACTGATTGGCTTCTTCCTGGTCTGGAGCAAGGAGGGTCATTTTCTCCTCCATGTATTTACTTACATCACTAATTGAATTATCACCATACTAAGAGAAATGATTATTTATTATTTATTTATTTATTTGTTTTTTGAGTTGGAGTCTCACTCTGTCGCCCAGACTGGAGTAGCCGTTCCCGGCCACCGCAGCCACGTCCGGCGATCCTTCCGCCTCAGCCTTCCAAGTAGCCGGAATTACAGGCATGTGCTACCACGCCCGGCTGATTTTTTTTTTTCATTGTAGAGATGAGGTCTCGCTGCCCAGGCGGATCTCGAACCCGCGGGCTCAGACAATCCACTCACCTCAGCCTCCCAAAGGTACGGGATTACAGGCTGAGCCACTGAACCCGGAACCCAGCAGGTGGAGGCTGCGGTGGCTGGGAGCGGCCACTGCACTCTAGTCTGGGCGACAGGGTGAGACTCCAACTCAAAAAGAAATGATTAACAAAAGGAAAGCCGTCACCAGTCCTGCTACCTCAAGCTTTTGTTTTTTAGTGTTCTCTGTCAGCTCTTCACTCTGCCATGTAATTGTTCTGCTTTTTTACTTAACAATCTATCCATGACTCTCATTTTTTGATAGCTCCATAATGTTCCATAAAATTGGTATAATTTACTTGACCATAGCACATTTTTCCACATGTAGCCTTTCTGTTTTTGGATTGCTTCTATTAGAGTTAATTCTAGAAGCAGAATTATTAATTTAAGGGATTTAAATATTCTTATTTTCATATGACCTTTTAAAAAATTTTCTTTGAGTTGAAATCTCACTCTATTACCCAGGCTGGAGTACAATGGTAAAATCATAGCTCACCAGGGCCTCTCAACCTCCTGGGCTCAGGCGATCCTTCCACTTCAGACTTCCAAGTAGCTGGGACTATAGACTCATGTCACCATGCCCGGCTAATTCTTTTACTTTTGTAGAGGTGAAGTCTGCTGTGTTGCCGAGGCTGGTCTCAAACTCCTGGGCTCAAGCAATCCTCCCGCCTCGGCCTCCCAAAGTGCTGAGATAACAGGCCTGAGGCACTGTGCCTGGCTGCACATAACTTTTCAAGAGTCCCGTTATCCATACAGTACCGGCAGTGTCTTATTTATTGCTTAGTCTCACCAACATGAGGTATTATATCTAAAAAAGTATATTTTGTTGTTTTAACAAGTAGCAAAATGGCACTAGCTTAAAAGTATAATCTCATTATCATCAAGAGTCTGAGTATTTTCTTCTTTTTTTGAGTTAGAGTCTCACTCTGTCGTCCAGACTGGAGTGCAATGGCCGCTCCCAGCCACCACAGCCTCGACCTGCTGAGCTCCGGCGATCCTTCCACCTCAGCCTTCCGCATAGCTGGAACTACAGGTGCGCGTTACCATGCCCGGCTAATTTTTTTTTTTAATTTGTTGTAGAGATGAGGTCTCGCCTGCCCAGGTGGGTGGCGAACCCGTGGGCTCAGGCAATCTACTCAGCTCAGCCTCCCAAAGGCATGGGATTACAAGCTGAGCCACCGAGCCTGGCTGAGAGTCTGAGTATTTTCATGTTTGTTTACTAATTTATACAATATAGAAATAAATCTTTGTCATACTTGATGGTGTATATTTTTGCCGATCTGGTTTTTTCCCCCTTCTAGTTATAGGATTTATTTTTAATAACTTTTTATTTTGGGCCGAGCTCGGTGGCTCAGCCTGTAATCCCAGCACTTTGCGAGGCCGAGGCGAGTGGATTGCCTGAGCCCGCGGGTTTGAGACCCGCCCAGGTAACTTGGTGAGACCTCATCTCTACAATAAATCAAAGATTAGCCGGGCGTGGTAGCGTGTGCCTGTAGTTCCAGCTACTTGGAAGGCTGAGGCAGAAGGATCGCTGGAACCCAGTAGGTCAAGGCTGTGGTGGCTGGGAGTGTGCCACTGCATTCCAGCCTGGGCACCAGTGTGAGACTCCAACTTGAAAAAAAAAAAAAATCTTACCCCAGCTACTTGGAAGACTGAGGCAGAAGGGTCACCTGAGCCCAGCAGGTCAAGGCTACGGTCCCTTTAGCCTGGGTGGCAGAGTAAGAGTCCTACTCAAAAAAAAAAAAAAATCAGAGCCACATTGGTTTTATTTTTAATAAAATAGAATTATAATTTCTTTGATGATTAGCGAGGCTGAGCATTTTTTTAAATGTATCTGCTGGTTGTTCGTATATCTTCTTTTGAGATGTGTCTATTCATATCTTTTGTCCACTTTTTAATAGGGCTGTTTGTTTTTTTCTTTTTGGCGTGTTTGAGTTCCTTATAGATCCTAGATGTTAGGCCTTTGTCAGATATACAGTTGGCAAATATTTTCTCCCAGTCTGTGGGCTGTCTCCCTGCTCTCTCGATAGTTTCTTCCACTTTGCAGCTTTTCAGTTTGATGAGGTCCCACTTGTCTGTCTTATCTCTTATGACATGGGCACTTGGGCTATCGATCAGGAATCGGTTGTCATTTCCAATTTTCTTTTTTTTTTTTGAGTTGTAGTCTCACTCTGTCGCCCAGACTGGAGTGCAGTGGCCGCTATGCTCCAGAGATCCTTCCACCTCAGCCTTCCAAGTAGCTGGAACTATAGGTTCACGCTACCACGCCCAGCTAATTTTTTTTTTATTTATTGTGGAGATGAGGTCTTGCCAAGTTGGCCAGGCGGTTCTCGAACCCACGGGCTCAGGCAATCCACTCACCTCAGCCTCCCAAAGTGCTGGGATTACAGGCTGAGCCACTGAGCCTGGGTCATTTCCAATTTTCTTTTTTCTTTTTTTTTTTTTTTTGAGTTGGAGTCTCACTCTGTCACCCAGACTGGAATGCAATGGCCGCTCCCGGCTACCGCAGCCTCGACCTGCTGGGCTCCGGCGATCCTTCCGCCTCAGCCTTCCAAGTAGCTGGAACTACAGGCACGCGGTACCACACCCGGCTAATTTTTGATTTATTGTAGAGATTTGGTCTCGCCAAGTTGCCCAGGCGGGTCTCGAACCCGCGGACTCAG